TTCTAAACATGGCGCACATTCATGCTCAGGTCACGTACTAGTAGATGGTGAATTCTATGATTTGAGAAGTTAGATGCACAAAAATAAGAGAGTGTGAATGTGAGAAAGAATTCCGACCAAACTGGGAGCAGATGTCGAGAAATCAGGTCTCTGCAAGCATTCTTCTCATCATGACCATAACTCATATCTGATGTCGAAAAACCAATGCTAACATCACATTCATCACTCTTTGCATTGCGGCTTTGAGCAAACATCATTCATATGTAGTGATCACTTTCAGACGTAGTCGAGTTTGCTTATTCTGATTTAAGCGAAAAATACTTTGAAATTATTCACATTAAACAGTGCATTTTAGTACTACGAGAACGTTATCATGTAAACGGATATCGAAATGCATTCGGCTTGCACTCGATAAACGAATTAATAAGATGAATGTACAATAAAAATGAGTTAATTGAATAATCGATGCATCCACTCGATGTTCATTCAATGCTGCATAATATCGTTTTGCTCTGATTTTAGAATCCATTTAATTGAGAAAGAAAATTCGAGGTCCATTGCTTGAGGAAAAAGTAAAATCCCAAATCGATCTTTAAATGTCGACTTTTTGGATTCATCAAAATTCACCAAGAGATTGACCAAACTACTGAACTAATTCGTGGAAGAGAACCTAAGTAAATTCATTGCGTGCTCGGCAAAGCATTCGGTCATCTCTTTTGAAAGCGAACGATTTATAAATTCTTCTGACAAAAAAGTTTTCTCCAGAAAAAAAAGCTGTTAGGCTGCCGTACATTCACGATTCATTCCCATCTCTGAATGGTTCTGGCACAGTGACGAGGGTTATTAAAGTGTTTTGAACGAAACAACGTTCCAATAGGGTNTACGACCAAAATAATTCTTGAAAAACACCGGACAAGAGAGAGGTAGGCGAGCTTAATCGGGCGTGCTAGCGGCCAGAAGAACGTCAAAGTGATGTCGCTCATACAAATGCACATTTTCTGCACATTCGTCTGGCTTCATGTAAACATTAATAATAAAGTGACCTGATTGAATTACGATCAAATACGGATAAATGTAATCAAAATACTTGCAAGAAACGTTGAGTTGCGTTCACAGCATCAGTTTTGAACGAGAAACAATGATTAGAAGCGAATGGGGATAAACAGGTATCGTGAAATCAAATGAAACGAGCATAGATTATTGCGTAACGCGCAAATTTATAATGAGATAAATACAGATCTACGTAGGTGCGTACCAATTACCTAGACGTGTGCATGTGTGAGATGATAAAGCTGAAATGTTAGTAGTTGGTGGATTTGATATATCCATACGCAAAGCATGGCTATGCTATGATATGCAACATGCATAGAGCATGCTTTAAAGCGTGGAAGATCTTTCAGTCATTTCATTCTTGCGTTCATTATTTCGTGCACGACGACGTTACATTACACGATATCGTATTATGGATAGAAACGGCAAGATCTATAGCTGGAGGCATGGTAGATATAAGCGGATATGGATATGAAGTATGTGTGTGTGCATGTTGATGGATTTGGAATGACGTAAATTGGAATCGAAGGGACTGGACGATAATTAAAATTGTGTCTGAGCACTGACCAACCAACCAAGAACACAGGAGCATACCGCGCATTCCATGGGATGAATGCTCATTGCGATTATGGCAACTTAAACGATTGCTAGGTTTGTTATTATCAGTGCAGCTGGCAATCACAATTATAGGTCTAATGTTTTTTCATCTCACATTGAATATCTATCTACTAAAGTCAAAAAGCTTGAAGATTCACATTTCAAGATATTCACTCGAAATATTCAGTCACGTATTTATCATAATCAACAGTTAGCAAGCGAGTTTATCCTAATGCGTTAAATTCTTTATTTAGCTGAAAATCGTTTTTGAAGCGTTTATAAATAAACAATGCTCGAGTAGATTTTGCAATTTACATTTCAATAATCAAGCAGAAACAATGATTGCAACACTTGGGTTGTGGTGAGGAGTGTATTATAGGAAATAATCGTCGTCAGATCGGTGGAGAAATAAAATAGAGTTAATTCCACTAATAGAATACATGACTTAATTTTTGTGAAATTATAACTGGATCTCCCGAAAATACAGAACAAATTTCATGTCTAGAAATCTGTTCTGAAAGCACTACGAATAAATTAGATAGTGAGTCACGGCTGGAATAACTGTTTGAATGACGTGGGATAAGTTGATGAAGCATCGACTTCAAGGACGCGATATGCGTACATAAATGGATGGAGAAACGATTGATTAGATTCATTTTTCATAGTCTTGCTCTCTTCTGAACAGACAGACGGATATAGGAAGGGTTGGACTTGAGCAGAATGTTGCATACCGAGGATTTGAACAAGCAGAAGGTTACTGAGCAGGATGCATGAATCAGGTG